ATATTTAGCATGACATTAGATCATGGAAGTTCGAAGTTATTTAAGATGATTTCCCTGTTTTGGAATATCTTACAATCATGTTATAGGGACAAGATATATGCAGTGGAAACATGTCACAGTACAAGACTTAAAGAATACTAAAATTGATCTGTTAAAGACATGGTACAAGTCATTAAATGGGCAAAGGATTACTAGTTAGTAAGATAATCATTCAAAATGTGAGAAAAAAATGACTGAGAAGAATAAAGAAATAACCTTAGTGTCAGTTCAGCTGTTTAACCAATGTGCTCCTGAGGACATGAATTATGACTTATGAATAGGCAACATTTATTAAGGACATACAACATACCAGTAATGTTATAAATTTCAGATATTTTCAATGTATTAAGTCACTTAGTCCTCCTAATAACCTGATGATGTGGATAGTATCTCCATGTTCATTGAAAGTGAGCATGGACACCTTACGAAACATTCCTGGGATTGACAGGAAATATGTGGTAGAACTAAGATGTAAGAAAAAGCAGTCCAGTGGCTTAATCCCTACCTGTATCTCATCTCATTACCCTGGTATAATTTGTTTCTGAAACAATGAGCCTCATCATATGAGTATAAGTAACTAGATGAGCATCAGGTTGTTGAATCATTTTGATAATTGTAAGTTTTCAGGAAATATTTCTGGAGATTAAGGTAAGCATTAATAAGTTAACTCTAGAAAGAGTCACTGAGCCTTGAAAAATATGGAACACAGAAGTACCTGGTAGAAATGTCAATGTGTTTCCAAGCCACGGATGTCCTTCTGCTTTCAGTCCCTTTTCTGTTCCTTCCTATCATGACTGCTCATATTTTAGCATAGGTGACTGGCTAGAAAAGCTTTGCCATTAAACCACAACACCCTTTGCAGTTTGGGTTCTGTGTCCTCCCAATGTACATGTTGGAAACAAACCCCCCAGTGTGATGGTGTTTGGAGATAAGGCCTTTGGGACATGATTAGGTCCTGAGGGTGGAGCCCTCATGAATGAGATTAAAGCCTTTGTAAAAAAGGACACAGAACTTACCTTTTAGCACATAAATATACAGCAAGAAGACAGCCATTCCTGGACTAGCAAGCAGACCCATACCAGACACTGAATCTTCAAGCCCTTTGATCCTGGATTTCCTGGCATTTAGAACTGTGATAAATTCCACTCTCTTTATAGTATTTTGTTAAAATAGTCTACATGGATTTCAAATTTACTCAAGTATTATTTTTATAAAGGGCAATCTGATAGCTAAAAGTGAAATAAAATGCATTAGGGACAGGAGGACCAATTCCTACAGATTTGTATGTTTATATTTTTAAATGTTAAAAAGCACCTAGTTTATGGCTCTATTTTCCCTTGTGGTTTAGGAAGATAGTATTTAAAATGAAAGAGGTGCTTAAAACCTCTCATTCAAATAGGTGGTGGCCCATCTATGTTAGTCACGCTGATCTAGTCATGTACCTAAGGGCTTTGGCCAAACCAAAGCATCTTGTCTTTCCTTTAAATACATGTTCTTTGGGCCAGGGATTTAGGTCAATGGTTCTACCACCTGCCTTGCAAGCTCAGGAATCTGAGTTCAATCCCCGGTACCAAAAAAACCCAAATAAACAAACAAAAAACACTGCTACTAAATACATGTGCTTTATCTATTGATGTATTCACTCCTTATTTATGTATGCATTCATTTATTCAACAACCTTCTGGTTCTTCATTGTGTACTTCTTTCTTGCCATTGGTAGTGGTACACATTGCTGAGCAGAGTCAGCTCCAGCCGGACTTCTTGGATTTTACAATTTTAAACACATCAGTAAAATAAACTTGTCTGATTGAATGTATGTGTATGTCATGAGTAATTCTTAGGCAGTTAATCACTGAGCCTGTTTCCTTATCTGTAATAATGGGGTTAAAACTAGCCTGGCCTTTTTCACATGATAAAATGAGACAATATAGATGAGATCTCCTTTTTAAACTTTAAAAAACTTAGTTTATAAGCAGAGCTCTTCATTTGGTCACATAACAGAAATTGACAACATTGGCAGCTGGACCATCTGGCTAATTCACAGGTTTTATGAGGCAGATTGATATAGTAACAGGGGCCTGGCTTTTCAGAAACTGATGTCTTGACTTTAGACATCATTATATACTAGCTTTGTCACTTTCATCAAGTTATATAACCTCTCTGAACGCAGTTTTCTCATTTCTAAGAAAAGCTAATCATAGCTATCTGATAAGGTGCTTTAGACAATCTTAGTTTGCAAACTACCCAATATAGTGTTAAAAAAAAATCCTGGTTGTTCTTTTCAATATCGCTAGCTATTCTGTCATCAGATCTTGGGACTCAGTTTTCCTAAGGGTCTGCCTCTATATTTCCCTTCCTTTCCCATGGTCCTACCACTCCCTCCTTCCTCTGGCCTGAGATTTAAAGCTCCATAGTTGAAGTGTGCCTTGCCAGTTAGCATTCCACACTACCTTAGTGATGTGGCTTGTGTCTAGGATCCAAAGCTTCATAGGTGGGACTTTTCAAAGGTGGCTTGATCTAAAGTGTGTGATACTGGGATTAAGGGTGTGTGATTACTAAATTCATTTATTGATTAGTTTGGCTTAGTTCTGAATGTAGTTAATGGGAAGGCCCACCCTGGCCATCAGTGCTACCCTCCCTAAGGATATATAGCCTAGATAGAATATAAGGAACAGAAAGAGGGCTGCTACCATCACTGGCTGCTTGCTGCCTTGCTGCCTTCTACCTGCCATGAACTGTTTCCCCTCTGCCATCCACCCTGCCTTGGAGCAGCCAACTATGAACTGAAACATCTACACACTGTGAGCCATATAAACCTTTCCTCCTTTAACTTTGGTTGTCCAGTATTTTGTCTCAGCAACTAGAGAAGTAACTAAAACACTTTTAACCTTCCTTGTTTTACCAATGAAAGCCAATCCTCTGGGTCTGCTTTGCACATGGGTGACAGAGTCTGACAACATCCCAGAGATAAATATTATTGGTTCCTTTGTTGAACACCAAGTACATGGCAAGTGTTCTATCCCTCTAATAGTCTTCCCAAGAAAATATTATTTCATATTATAGACATTTTATAGATAATATTCCAAATTTATACAGTAGTAAGTAGTGAAACTAGGGTCCAAACTTTTACTGCTGAATCCAACAACTAGTAACTCCCTATGGACAAAGTAAATCCAAGTTGTAAAGAAATACAACTTAAGCTATAGCATTGAACAAGCTAACTGTTAGGGACGATATTGTAAGAAATGAATGGCCTTCCTTGAAGTAAATGTATAAAAACATTGATCAGTGGTATTTATTGAGAGCCAGAGCAAACCAGGGATTGTTACAGATGCTCAGCATGCAGAGATTGGTAAGCATGGTCTTGCCCAAAGAAGCTCTTGTAGTTGAGGTGGAGAAATAGCAATGATGGAATCAGGTAACTATGAAACAAGGGGTGGTATCATCAGAGCATAGTCACATGTAGGTTTTGATGGAGGGTTTTCACAGACAGAGAAAGGAGAGCTACACATCAGAGTTCAAGTAAACCACGTCACAAGGCAAATATTATGTGAATGGAGAGAAAGAAGTAATGTGGCCAGTTAGTACAAAGTGTTCATGGGAGAGTGAAGGGTAAAACTACAGAAATTTGTCAGGGGAGCCAGGATGGTAGAATGGTCTTTGATGCTAAGTTATTTGGTCTTGAGTCTATAATCAGTAAAGTGCATTGGCTTATGGCTTCTAAGATGCCAAGATGAAATTGTGCCTCCTTTCTGAATGTATTAGAAGGTAAAACTTTACAACTGAATCTGAATGGACAATGGGAATTAGCCCTGGATTGTGCCTTAGTATTATAATGTATGACATATGGTGATAAAAAATAAGTCCCCACAGACCCATAAACAAAATGAATGAATTATTGAAGACTAACTGTATTCGTAGTATAGAATTTGAACTATTAAGGCATTTCTAGAAAAAACAAATTTCCATTTGCCATGACCTCGATTTCTCAATTCATTGACATCTTTCTTCTCTATCATAAGATCTCCTTTAAGCTGTTACTTTCCTACATCAGATGCTAATGTTTTAGGAACTGAGTATCAGTAGGTTTGGCATAGCTTGGAGGAGTCCTCAACCCAGAAACAGAATGAAACAAAAATAGAATTACCAAAAGGGCAGATGCAGTATCTTATATCACTTTCATTATATTATATTTTAGCAGCTGAGACAGGAGGGGAGAATATTATAGAATCAACTTGCTGCAGTCTCGCCTGTAATTATATTTTTCCTTGATAAGCCATTGGCAATGAGCCCACCAAAATATTGATGTGAAACTTGATCTCTCAGGGCTGTGGAATTTCTCCAGCCCTGGGGTTGAGAGTGAGAGGTTTTAGAAGCATTTGGCAGCTGTAGTAAATTCAGGAGCTGGAGGCAAGGAACAATTCCTCTAGCACAAGCCCAAAGTCAGCATATTATATAACTACGGAAGGCACACTTCATCACACTTTCATACTCTTGACTGGATCTTCTCCAGGCCATGTATCTTACAGAGATGTAAACATACATTTTACATAATATTTGGGGAAGTGGTGGGGATTCCTATAAAGTTTTCATGATTTTCTATTTAGGGATGAGTGTGTTATGTATAAATAGTGATGCTGATTCTTAAAAAACAAGTGGCAGTGAAAGCTGCCTGTGCATGCTGTCATATATTTTGAGTTTTGCTCTCTGTACAAGCTTTTTTACTAGTGTCAGTCCAGTTTTTCAAAAAATGTCCTAAAATGTGGACATGTAGCAGCATGAATATAGTTTTTTAAGGACTGCACAACTACAAAGTCACTTCTAGCTGGGACCTGCACAGTTCTGTGGATGAAACTGTAGGCACTGAGTAACCTGGCCAGTCGAGCTACCTCAATTCAGCATCATACATCAGGAGCCTGCTTACATAGGGAAAAGGAGCATAAGCTTAGGAACTGGACTCACCTGAATTTAGATTCCCAACGATGACACTTCTGAACTGCATGAACTTAGTGAATACCTGAGTCTTCCTCACCATCTGTAAGCACACAGGAGTAAAATGAGCTTCTGTAAGTGAAGCACTCAACTGTAGTTGGCACCTCACAGGAGCTCAATAATACATTCTTTCTTTTGCTTTTCTTTTCCCTTTCTCACTGTAGAATATAATTATTTCTACAAGAGAGGCAGATATTTACATCACAAATCAGCAAGTAAAGATCTGTTTACCAAAGTTTTAAAAACAGCTTCAGGTTTGATTTTTTTAAAATGTTGCCATCTATTTATATCAAGCACTTTTGCAGAAAGGATTTGAGATAGCATTCAAAGTATAACATACACAGTAAGCTTGATTGAATAAGAGACAAAATATAAAAAGAGAAACAGGGCCCAAACACTCTAACCCAGCTACTGTAACTGAGTAGATTCATTAGCCAGGGAAATTTGGGTCGCCTCCTTCACACTGCACATGCACACACACACATGCAAGATTGTTCTTTACAATATTGCTTTGTGAATCATGAAACAAATTATACCAAAAATTATTCTTATCGTACTTTCTTTAAATGCTTCTGTTTCCACTTAATCCTGACATAATAGCCTATATTGTTGGCTAGATTATAGATTTGATTTCTTAGTCTCAGTAGTGATATTTGACAGTCAATACTTCATTTTTCATTTTCTTTAACATTTAGACACTGAAAAGTCATTTTCTAAATAAACCAAACCATCTCTTTAATTTCTGCAGCTTCTTAGAAATTCACATGGTAGGCAGAATCATTCTTTTAAAAGTGGAATCTGTTTTCAATTTAGACCACAATACTAAGACATGGGAAAAATCAAAATCAAACAGAATAAAGACTTTTCTCTCTTTTTTCTAGAGCTAGCACTTCTACTATAAGAAAAAAACAAAAGGACAACAGTTCATCAAAGGAGACAGATTTTTGCCTGCTATTCAGTTCTTGAGAAAAAACATTCTCATTTGGGTACTTTTCTGAATATTCTCTTTATTCTTTGCTTAGAATATTTTTCATTGTTTTTGAACCAAGACAGAGCTTCCTGTATACCTAGAACTGTTTAAAAAATTGTCTGTATGTAATGTGTAATAAAGTCTCATAAGAATTCAGAATTTTTAGTAGCCTGAAGGTTGAAACACATTATGAAAGTTTATCATAACGCAGTACAATGACAATCAAAGGAATGATAACAGGTCTTTGCTAAAAAGCCATCCTTCCTATTTACAGAGCCCTGATTCTAATTGAAAAGAAGCAGAGTATTTCAATATTTGTTCTTTCTACTAGATATATCCCTAAATTTTTGGGCTAAACCAAGCTACTGCAACAGAGTGAAAAAAATTTTAAGAAATTCTTCAACTCATTTTTTTCCTGGTTCTGCATTTACTAACAAACAACATACTGAAACTGATTACAAATTATAAAAGTAACACATTCTACTCTTCACAATGATGTTGCTACTCTTGGTGTTCTAACACCGAGGTTTCATGTGGCTTTAGTGCTGCAATCAGACTTTCTGAGGATGGACAACCCTAGAGCCAAAGAGAGACCCTGGGTCCCGCATACCTCCCAAGTGCACCACACTTTGCACAGCCCAACTCAAGAAAATGTTTATTGTCTGCTACTATTGAATAATTTCAGCATTTTCCCATTTTATAACCAGGTATAAAAAGCCAATCTTCAAAGATGAAAAATATGAACTACTTATAGCACGTATTAGTTTGTTAGATTTTGAAAATACTTGGAGGTACTATCATATTTTAAATATTTTCAGCATCTGGTTTTTTGTAACACAATGGAATAGTTGAAGATATTTGATTTGCTTAATTTTCATAAAAAATCAAGGAAGTTTTGGTCTGCAGGAGTTTTATTCTGTAGTCTTAAGGGAGAGTCATTTAACCTACTATTAATGGGAAGGGGCTCTTAAGTCGCTTTTAGGAATAATTTCACAGGAAGAGGAGTGAAGATGAGTAAACAAGTCCAGAATTTATAATACCATGTATAGTATAGACTAGAATTTTTAAAGTTACCTGAATTTTATGTCAAAACTTAATTTCATGTAATTTAAATAAATTCTGGTGGAATGCCTAAAAAGCCTGTTTTCTAGTAGCTGGTCCTAGGAATTAACTTATAGTGGCCTTTATAAGGTGTAGTTTTGTCTGTAAGACAGGTTATAAGAAAATTTAAGTAGCTTTTAAGGATCAAATGTGATATTTAAATATTTTACTTTTAGAGGCAATTAAAGATTTCCTTTTTTACCACAAGTATCAGTTTTTCCACCCAAAGAAAAATTGTCAGCTTTTTATATGTGAATAGATCTATGATAAAGTGTGAAAAATATTCTCAATACTTGAAATCAATCAAGAAAGACACTTAGATATTTCAGTTTTTTGACAAAGAGAATATAGTAGAATTGCTCTATAATTGTGAGATTAAAAACAGTACAATATTCAGGATAACCATTTGCAGGATAGTAACTTGTATGCAAAAGCAGAACTGTGTAGTTTATATTAAATTCTATAGTTAAAAATATGCACGTGTATTATGGTTTAGATTGTGTTCATGAAAATCTCATATGTGCAAAGGTGGAGCTTTGGATCATGAGAATGCACTGAGCAGTTCCTATCTAAATATACCATTAGGAGGTGCAGTGTGGCTGGGGCTAGGTCACTGGAGGCATGAGCTGGAAGGATGGGCGTTTGTCCCCAGGTCATCTGTTCTTCCTTCTCTCTGTTTCCTAGCTGGCATGCATAGGAAGCTTTCTTCTACCATGCCTTTCTGCCATGCTGTTCCTGCCTTGGAGCCAACCAACCATGACTGACCCCTCTGAAAACTGGGAGCACAGAGAAAGTTTTCCTTCCTTAAACTGAGCTTGCCAGGTACTGTGTTCCACCAAAGAGAAAGTGATTATTAGAGAAAATTGGTACCAGCAATGAAACTGCTGCTGTGCCTGTACCTGACCATGTTGTTTAAAAGCTTTTGGAACTGGTTAGAAGGAGGAGTTTGGAAAAGTTGAAGGGTGTGGGCAGGAGAAGCCCTAGAATGCTGTAAGGAGAGACTGATAGATCATTCTTGTCTGAGCCTGAAAGACCAGAATGCTGATAAGAATGCAGACAGTAAAGGCCAGGCTCAGGAGGTCTCAGTTGGGAACAGGACGTCATTGACAAAGGACTAGATGCCATATGTTTTACGCTGTAGCAAACCACCCCCCAAAAAATATTTACATTTTGTCTCTGTCCTTTGTATGAGGTTGAACTTAAAGGTGGTAGACTAATTGATCTGATGGATAAAATTTTAAGGCAGCCTTACATTCAGGCTTTGGTATGGGTACTACTGGTGTCTTTTAGCCAGATTTATAATGGGAACCAAAGACCAGAGCCAAAACAGAAACTTACATTTTGTCCAAAGGAACCACATGTAAAGTTGATGTCGGAGGATACCACCTTCATGTGCCTGCAAAAGAGATTAGCAACTATAAAAAGAAATCAAGTACTTTGTACAGAGATAAAAAGAAAGATGCCTTAAGGGCCCTTCAGAAACCAGCAAGACTATAACTATCAATCATTCAAGTGTATAGAAGTATGAACCAACCTTTCATTTGAGAAGAGAAGAAGGCCCTGCTCAGGAAAGGCTCCTAGGAAATTGGTTGCCTAAGATTCATTCAGTGTGTTCAGCCATCCAGATACTCAGAGACTACTGTGGTCATGGTCCAAGGGAGCCTGGTTACTGTTGTCAGCAGTAGCAGACCTTAACATTTTTCACATCATTCTGTTTGTTCAAGCATGCAGAATGCATGCTGTGGGGTTAGGGAGACTTCCACCCAGATTTCAGAGGAAGGCCTGGAAAGCCAGGCCAGGAACTCCTGAGAAGACTCTGTGTTTAGCTATGAGAATGAAGCCGATGGTGAAGTGGAGACCCCAGGAAATTAGACATCCAGGAGTGTGGAATGTCTTACGAGAAGATCTGCAGGCCATGAGCATACCCAGCCCAGAAGAGAGGCTGTATGGGCTGCAGACAACAAATTCGCTGGGTTGAGAATGCTGAAACCTTTGGGAGGTCACACTTCACTCCTGTGTACTCTGGATGTCAGATATAGAACTACAGAATTTAACATCTGCCCTGCTGTGTTTGTATCTTTCTTTGGTCTGATTCTTTTCTGCCCCCTGATTCTTCCCTTTTGGAATGGGGATGTTTAGCCTGTGCTATTGCACCTTGGTATTATGCAACTTGCATTTTTTTAAAGATTCCTGAGTCATAGAAGAGACTTTGGACTTGAACTTTTCAGCAATATTGAAACTGTTAAGACTTTGGCTACTCTTAGAGCTAGTCTAAATGCATTTTGCATAATGACATGAGCATGAGGCTTTTGGGAGGCAGGGGTGGAATGTTATGGTTTAGATAAAAACATGCCCCCCTAAATCAGTGGTAGGGCATTTGGAAAGTCATTGGCTCATGGGGCCACTATATTCATCAGTGGATCAAAAAATCCATAGCTTTTAGGATGTGGGGCTTGGTTGGAGGTGAGTCACTGAGGGTGAGACCTGAAAGGGCATATTCTTGTTCTCAGTCCATCCTTTCTTCCCCAATCTCTGCTTCCTAGCTGCCACAGGGTAAGCCTGCCCTTGTGTCATGCAGTTTCTAGCTTAGAGCCAGCCAACCGTGAACTGAGCCCTCTGAAACTAATACCCAAAACAAACTTCTCCTCCTTCAAGTTGTGGCTGTTGGGTGTTTCATCCTGGTAAGGGGAAAATGAATAATACAAAGTTTTACTTTGTAGAATTTTAAAATTTTAATATAGCCCTAAGTCTAGTTTTAGAGATGGCTGAATTGAAGTGATCATACATTCAAATTTATGCAAATATTGTACTATTTGTAGATCTTTGTTTTTTGGTGAATAAATAATCAGATTGTGTTTGCAGAAATGTGCATCTCATTGTAGCCACACAGAATTTTTCAGTTGGATTTTCATTAGTGCATGTTTCATTACCTAATGATCACATTCCTTTGGGGAGCTGGTACATGTACATAACACAGCTCAATTTTTTCAAGCCTTTACCTCCCTTCCCTCCATCTCTTGATACTTTCCCACTTGAGAAAGCTCTCCTGACTTCCTATTATTTATCTTTTATTTTTCTCTTTATTTATACTTTAGGTTTATCAAGAGAAACTGTGATATCTAAGCTTGTGTGTCTAATTTATTTCACTTAACATTGTGGTCTCGAGGTGCGTCCATTTTCCTACAAATGACTCAAGTTTATCCTTTCTGGCAAAGTAGCCTTCCAGTGTGTATACACACCACATTTTCTTTATGCATTCATCTGAGGATGGGCAGAACCCTGTGGCTTATGTAAGCCTCACTATGTGCCAAACGTTATTTTAAGTTCTTTACTTTTATTGATTCCTTTTATGAATAAACACATCAGTTTTTACTCCCATTAATATCCTCATTTCACTGATTAGGAAAACCTAACCCAATACCATGAGGCAAAACCAGAATATTAACCGAGGGAGAGAAATTCTAAAGTTTGCTTCATTTTTAACAATTATAGTATAAATTAAAGCTTAGAATCTTCATAGCATAGGCCTGTAGTATGCTGGTGCTCACTGGTGTCACAATTCATAGAATAAATGACCTCTCTCTGGGTGATCTACTGTGAGCAAAGCTCTGAGGAGCTGCATGTGCAGCTATAATAACAGTGTGGTATAAGCACTAGGTGCGTTATTTAAATTTGGAAATTGACCCAATTCTTTTCCAACAAAATAAGAATCCTGGACCTCACCTGGGTTGGGCACTAGCAACTCAGTTGTGGAGGTGACCAGCCTGGCTTGCTTGTTGCAATGGGGCAAAGATGCAGGAATACAGAAGTAAAAATCCTTTAGGACCCTAAGGAACAACAGGGAGAATCAAGTAACTCTATGGATTACTTCTACGATGAATGCATGGTCTGTCACGGCAAACAGACCCTCAGTGCTCTCTGACTGTCCATGTTTTCCACGGCTGACTTTCTCACCCTGCTTTTTCATAGTTAATAATCTGTTCTTTTTCCTATATGCGGGGTTTTTTTTGTTTTTTTTTTTTTAATATACCAGGGATTGAACTCAGGACCTTGTTCTTGTGAGGCAGGCGGTGGAACAACTGAGCTAAATCCCTGGCCCTCTGGTGTTTTAAAACCAATTCTTCCACCTTCCAACACAGCCTGGAACTCCCTTTGTCTCTCATCTCTGAGAAGTTGATTCCTCGCGTGAGCCTCTACCCTGGCTTCCTTTCCTACCTCAGTGGCTTTCATCCTGTCTGCGCGTGCCTTTGCGCTTCTCTCGACCCTACTTCCTCCTACTTCCTCAGAGACTTCACATAGCTTACGATCCTATTGTCTCCCACCTTCAGTCTCTGATGCCTCTTTTCTATCAGCATTTAAGTGTGTTCAGGACACCGCTATTGCTTTTTAAACCCATCTTCCATCTTACACCCTTCTTTATCCTCTGCCTCATTTCTTTCCTCCTCATTCAAACATCTTCAGGGAATTGTGCTCACTGACTGCCTGCCGCACTTCCTCTCAGTCAGCTGCCTTTACCAATGGGACTCTGAACCCAGCATCTAAACTCTTCCTTGTGAAAGCAGTGTGTCCTTCTTGCTGATAAATCCACTGGGTACTGCAGAGTTGGCATTATCAGCACTTGTTGATCATTTCCTTCTTGAAATCTGTCAAAGATATTGATGAATTAAACAAGAGATGCTTTGGGCTTCCCAGCATCCGGGGTTCTGTGACTTTATGCGTGCTCTTTGCTCTTGCTTCTTTCTCGTCTTGTTTTCAGGCACCTTTTCTTTGCCTATCCCCCTATGTACTTATTCTCAGATCTGTGTCTTTAACCCAGATAAGAATCTTTAGTTGCAAATCTAGGCATAGATCCAACTGTCTCACAAATCTGCATGAACTCCAAATTCAATACATCCCAAACTGCAATCAATCCTCTCTTACATTTTAAACTCTCTTCCTCTTCCCATGATTCCTATAATCCTAGCGATCATCAAGCTCTGTAAAATCTACTTACCTGTCTTTCCATTCTGCCCACTGTCACTACAGTCATTACCTAGACTAGACCCTGGCCATCTCTCCACAGCAACTAACTCGTCTCCAACCAGCCTGCTGTGCTCAGGTTTTATTCCAGCCAGAATGACCTCTCTGGAATATAATGCTGCTCTTTCCTGTTCCTATTTCAAATAGTTTCACAGCTCCAGGTTCTTCTCTGTGTTAAACTCAGGTCTCCTATTTGACCTGCAAAGCTCCCCAAGCTGGCCCTTGTTCATCTCCATGTTTCCATTCTTAGCCCTTCTCTTCCTGGTCATAGCCCAGTCTCACTGCAAAACTTTGCATCCTTGAAAGTTGAATGCTGTCTTTTTTATCTGGGTTTTTGTTCACATTGTTACCTTTGACCACTAAATCCTCTTCCCCATGGTCTCTACTCTGGTCTTTCAAATATCTGATCCCAAATTGCTTTTTTTTTTTTTTTTGCAGAGCATCTCCTGGTTGTCTTCATTTAAAATTAATGGTCCTGGCTAGCTCTTTTGATTTCCTGAATCATAGCATTTATCATACTATATTTTACTTAGATAATAATAAGCACAGTAGAAATCAGCTCAGTTAAACCTGCTATCTATCACTCCACAGTGCAACCCTAAATCCATAATAATTTTGCACAATGTCATATGTAGTTCAGTGGATCTTAATGAATACATTTTCTTCTCTATTCATGTAGACATAGAATAAAATAAACTAGAGAAAAAGAGGAGCACAGAGCTGAACCAATTATGTGTAAAATCAAAGGACTATGTGGAATGAAAAACATCTATAGGGCTTTTTATTTGTCTTTAAGTAAAGTATACTTTTTTGATGTCCATTTTGTTTTGGTAAATATTTGTGGGCATAAGATACCACGTGATGCAGAGCTCGCTCTGTACCAAACTCTGCAGAATGAAAGACACATTAAGTAACCAAAGGAACACATTGAAATTTCACACGGCCATGCTTTCTCCATTGCTGGCTCAAGACTCATCTCATTCCCATTTCCTCCATGCCTTTGAAATTCCTCTTTCCCCAGTGTCTGTGCAGAGGGTAGGTCCCCAAGGCAAAGAACAACGGAAGAGATGTGGCATGGGCCCAGTGCAATTACAAGCTAACGATGACTTGAGAAAACAAGGAATTTCTCCCTTGACCTTCCTTTGAGCTTTTAAAAACTAACTGTTTAGATGGTGTATATAGATCACTGTTTTGACCCTTTTACTACTACTCTTAATGTTAGTAAGTTTTAGACCCTGTTCACAGTACCTGCCATCCATCTAGTCACAAATACTGATTCAAGTGCTGATGTTAATCTTTTTTCCTAAATCTCTACCACTAACTCTTGACTAGGTTTGTGCTGAGTTCCTCTTCCTCAAGTGATTATGGCTATTCGGAGAAGCTGAGACCTTTGAAGATCTAGGTACTAACTGTTTGAATCTTCATTTGCTTTGAGTTAAAATAGTTAAAATCTTTCTGCCTTTGACCCAAGAAAAAGTCTTCCTCTGAGAAAGAGGTACTTTCATCTCGGTGTTCTCTGCCCTCAGGATGACTTCTCTCCATGCCCTCAATCTAAAAGAAGCTGGACTCAGGATAGT